GTAAGCTTACTTTTTTATAGCTTGATATGCACCGCCTTCAAGAAAGGGAAGATGCAATGAATGAGATCTTAGTTGTAGTGGTCGAAGGAGTTAAGAAAGTAGTTAATGGTTGTGAATAAATTCATCATGTAACTGTTCTGGGGAGATGAAATAGAAACATAACGCCACTGAGACAGCTCGGTCCATGGAATCATCATCATGATTCTTGTTAGTCTCATAAAACACTACTGAATGCATCATCATCTCTCTGGTTAGTAAAACACAACAAAGAAGACGATGAACCCTAGTCTCAAGCGTCAATCATATGGGAAGAAAAAATGTGACTGGTTTAGTTATCATATTTAAGCCCAAGCCCAAATGTAAACCGTAAAATAACCAACAATTGAAACGTTTGCAAAAAAAGATCTTACAGAAAACACGTGTCATCATATCCTTGCACTACGTGTACGCTTGAGAAGAGAGAAAAAGTCTTCTTTATATTAATAGATAGATAGATATGTGTATTTGTTAATGAGTAGGGCGTTGTAAATTTTTTTTTTTTTGTATTGACTTCAATAACACACATAGCTTTTTATCTAATCATTTATGTTTTGTAGTTATGTATAATCAACATTATAATCTTGATAATTGAAAGAAATTTTAGTTCACGAAAAAAACCAACAATGATAGTTAACAATTGTTCAACAGTGATACATATTAATTAAGAATTTTATTTTCTTTGGTGAATACTGAAAATAAAATACTATCAAATAACCATTCAAATAAAACTTATTTGAATAAATGACCATAAGCAAGGATAGACAATGACACTGTGTACATTTTGTCTGTTTATTACCATATTTTTTGATTAGGATTTTGTGAGATCAAGATGATTTGGCGACAATGAAGTTTCGTAAATTGAAGTCTCCTTAAAGATTCGGTTTCCATCTTGATTGAAACGTCTTTTGGTGTTACGATCAACATGTGTTCTTCAACGTGCTTGTCTCTTTTTATGAGTTCTCTAGTTACTGTGTTTGTCAAATTTGTTTCTATTCGTCTGTTTCCGGTGGTCTCCTTGTGATCCATGATGGCTCTGTCTCATGGATCACATTCTTAAGGCTCTGTTCGTCTCCAAGGACAGCAGATATCTCTTCTTCATTTATAGATCTGTTTCTAACTAGTGCAGCATAGGATTGTCCTAGATCCGATTTTGGTCTCTCTGTCCGATCTTCTTCGAGCCTTTGTTGTGGTTTCCATTGAAATCTGCTCTTGTATAAATCACTGAAGGATCTGAACCTCGGTTCTCATATCTCACCTTTGGTTTCTGATAACGTTCTGTTTTATCCTCTGATTATAATAGGCGCATCAGTCTTTCGATGGTTCCATGTCACATCCCTGGGACATCTCCTGCTGAGTTTTCATTGAAACTAAGCAAAAAGTAGCAGATTTACACTCAAGAAGACTCCACTCTTCAATGATGGATTGTAAGGATAAAGGGATCATAGTTGTTGATGATGATGATGACTAGTTAATTTAGTTGTAGGATTAGGCAGATAATAATCTGATCAACTCTTCCCTCTGTGGTCGTCATTATGTTCGTATGGTTGGTACTTCTATCTCTGCTTGTGTTACTGCTTCCAATCCACAGAGTAGAGATTATGTTGTATGATGTGTTCCATGTCGTGGGATTGTTCGATGTGACACAAGACTTGGTTCACCCAATCTCCTCTGGGTGACTCTAGTCATTTCTTTAATCCCTCTATTATTTTCCTGTTCGCCAATTCGGCCTGAACATTCTTGTGTGGGTTAGCTTGAGTTGATTATCGTATTCTTGTTTTGTGTTTGAAACAAAAGAAGGCTCAAACGATTTTCTTAACGTTGTGCAGACATACGATGTTTTCCTTATGAATTGATTAACTTGCTGATCTTTTACATAGGGAATGTTTATGCTTCCACCAATTTTGTAAAATAGTCTGTCAATACAAGTAACTAACGGTGTCACCCTGAAGGATGCATAGGACCCACCACATCCATGGCCCATTTCATAAAAGGGTAGGGTGATGTCACTACACTCAAAACTTAGGCAGGTTGGTGTATTATCAAAGCATGTCTTTGACATCGTTCACATTTTTTTCCATATGCCACAAAATATTCGCCCATAGTTGGTAAGTATTATCCCATTTTTCTTATTATCTTTGCTAGGACCCTTCCACTGGAGTAATTTTTGCATTGTTCAAAGTGGAGTTAATGCATATACTTTGTATTTCTCCTCAACATATACAATTTAGGTGAATCGTACCATGTCTTCTTTGGTATAATTTTTGGTTTACTGTGCAACACCTTGCATATTTCCACCTTAATTTGTGCACTTCCCATTTGTCTGTTGGTAGTCAGGGATGTTAAATCCAGGCTAGCCCTCTTTTATTTAGAATAAACTCAACTCTATTTTAACCAAGAAGATAAGAAAATGTCAGCTTTGAGCATTGATGTATAAGTAAATAGAGGGGTAATCTGAGTTTAGTATTTTCTGACTTTTGGTTCTATGGTTTTAGAAAAACTGAAGATAACTGGAACCAATTGTTGTTAAACTAAATGAACTTACAACCTAAAATCAATTGGTTAAAAAAAAAACTTATTTATTAAGAATGATCCCTTCCAAATACCCATATGAGACATTTGTCCCTAATATATCTATTCTAGATGATGATTTTTTTAGCGTCAATCTAGGCAAAGATCGATGGACCAAATTTGGGCTGGCTAAATAATAGATTGGATTGGATTGTTTAGATCAGACTCTGATACTATGTTAAGTTAGAGGAACTTCTAACTTTAAAAAAATTGGTGATGAATGGATTGATTTATCTATGTTATATATCAAGAATCATTTTCAACTAGCGGTATGAGATCTTTATCCCTAATATTTGTGGTGTATAAAATTCAGTTTTCTTTGGTTTTGGTTTTGATTTTGATTCTGTCCGATCTTAGGGTATGAATGTGAAACCTGAGAGAGACATGAAAGATGTAGGAGAAATAATGATGCATAGGAGACTGCATTTAGTATTCATTCATCAATTAAATGTAGAACTAAAAGTAATGAATAAATTAATACTCTCTATGTTCCTAAAATATCCATATTCTAGTTTTTCACACTTTTTAATAAAACACAATAAATTTGCATAGTTTTTTGTATTTATCTTCTTTCTATAATTTTAATCAAATAAAAAATCAATTAGCGCAATTAAGTTTTTTGAAGTTTACAATTAGTTAATAAAACATGCATTGAAAATATAAAAAAGTAGATATTTTAGAAACAAATTTTTTTTCTAGAATATGTATCTTTAAGGAACGGAGGTAGTAATGTTTTGTAGACAGCTCATGCTAGTCACGTGACCAATGGGCAATTGTAATTTTTTTCTTTTCTCTTTTTAATCTTTCAACTATTAATGATATTATATTTTATTTCTTTTGATTAAAATAAGTTAGACTTTATATTCATTAATACTTAGTAATATTCACTTATTTTTTAAAATATAGTATGACATATACATGCACTTTCATGTTTTATTTACCTAATTTTATATTTTAATAAAAGCAGTATTTTACCTTATGTTTAATTTTTTTTAGTTGATTCCTATATCTACATCTATTAGAAATAATTCAAAAGTTTAAGGTTCACATTAATTTGGTTTTTCAATGAATTGTTAAAATTTTAATATGCTTAATAAAAATTTATTTAACTCTCTACAAATATATTATGACACATGTATGCCTTTTTATGTTTTACTATTTGATTACTGTTTTTATATAACATCCATACAATGTATTATAACACATGCATGATATTTTTACTACATCAATTCAAATGAAAAAAGAATCAAAATATGTTTTGTATTAGTTAATTTAATAATTATGAAAAAATTATGTTACAAATAAGTTAAAGTTTTAGGGATAATATATTCAATATATTTTAATTTTTTACAACAAGTATTTTTAATAAACAGTGTACTTCTTATCATCTATTTTCTCTAGACTCACTAATAAATAATATTTTTGAAAAAAAAAATAATATTTACTTTGGTAGAAAAAAATATATACTATAGTTCGTTTTATTTTTATTCTTGATCATATGTAATATAAATTAAATAACTAATATTTGTTGATAAATTGTTACATTTTAATATTTTTGTTTCCTTTTAAAATATATGATCAATAAAAACCATGTATTATATTTTCAAAAAGTAATAAACATTTTCATAAAAAATAGTTTAGTAAATTTATGCATATGATATTTTTATCAGTATGATATTTATTACTTATTTATAATCAGTTGTAGTATATTTATATATTTATTTTATTAAACATCAATATTTATTTAAATATAACAATTTATTGAAACAGTCTGATTTACGTTTGTTCTGAATAATTTGCATGATAAACATTTCTGTTTGACTACATTTTTTATATGTATTTACCCATTTAAAGCATTAGTCAAAAGTCGATAAAATATGATGATAATAAATGCAATAGTCAAAAGTCACGATAACATATGATCATAATAAATGAAATAATCTATAAGAATGAAACAGAAAATCATCATAAAAAAACAAGACATTATCTCACAATTTTCTTTTGTGTTGTTCTCCAACATGAATATCTTCATCTACGTTGGAAAAAATTTATTCTTGTGTTCACCTAGGGGTGAACCTCTAGCTTCACCAACTAATAGGATAGTGTTATTTTATATTTGATATATTTTAAAAAGGGAAATAAAATCTTGTCAAGTTATATTATATTTTTAAAATAAAAATAATAATCTTAACAAAAAACGAAAAAGAAAATCTTTTCACATTATATTATATTTTCGTTAGAAAATACCATAGTCGATTTACATTCAATAATCGCAGAAATTTGTTAAACACACCCTAAACTGTAAAAAACAAAAAAAAAATAGCCTAAACTGTAAAATACCCAAGGTAAGCAAATTCATATTCTTGAGTCCAATATACTTACTCACTTTGTCATTAACATTTGCATCTCATCTCCGACCCAACCATCTTCCCTGAACTACTATTCCCGGAAACACCAACCGCCACGTCATCACAGTAAACCCTAACGTACCCCCACTTCCAGAACACTCCATACCGGAAACGAACCCAAGAAGCCATCCTCAAATCAAACTCCACGCTTCCTTTCTCCACTCGCTCCTTCGCAATCGAATCAACCAATCGCTCTCCCACGTAAGTCCCTGACACAGACAGCGTCGCGTTGATCGGAGTCTGATCCTTCGTCCCTTGACCGAACGACAGTACCCGCGTCTGGGAGAGATACTCGTCGTTGTAATACACGCCTAACAGGACAGTGTCGTAGTAAAGCGACATCTTGGAGTTAGGGTTTTCAAATCGGAGACGGAGGTCCCAGTTCCCGGTGAGGTGGCTGTCAGAGACGTTGAAGTTTGAGAGGGAAAGGGAGTTGAGGTAGACGTTTGGGAGTTGGAGACCGAGGAGTGGGGTGATGAAGATGAACAAGATGAAGAAAATGATGGTGAAGGAGATCATCACGGCTAGGGCGATACGGCGGATTAGGACGTCGCGTGGATTGGGTTCTGGAGTGTAGTAAGGGTTGTAGTTTTGGTATTGGTAAGCGGTTGGAGGGTAACCGTCGGCGACTGCGGGGGGCTGGTTCGGGTAAGGATACGGGTATGGATACCCATTGGCGGGTCTGGAGTTCGTGTCTTGCTGCATAGCTTTGATTTAGGGATTCAGAAAGACTACAGAATCTGATTTTTTTTTCTGAGGAAGAAGAAGAGAAAGTGTTGTACTTGAAGGCAGAAGGCATGGAACCCGAAATGGAAATGGATATTTGTTTGAATACAATTTTGTATGAAATATCTTTGAACGGGAAGTAATTCAAATTGAAGGACTGCAAAACAAGGAAAGGGATATTATATTTAAGATTTGTTAACAATAATGACAATTGTAATATGATTAAGAAACAGCTTCAAGATAAAGATATACAAAAGGATCATATTGGAGCAGAATTATATACAAAAGTATTATGAATATGTGTATTTGTTAGACCATGTACAATGGTTTCAATATCAATTTCATTTTCAACACCCTACTTTTCGTTTTTTAACATTACACAGCATCTTCTCTTTCGTCCACCTAATTTATTCAACACGCTCTTCACTTTTAACATCTACAATAGTTTGTTTATAAAAATTCAACACCATATCCTACCTTTTTAATTTATACGTTTATCTTTATAATATAATAGCTATGTATCAATAATGTTTATAACTCTAATTAAATTAAAAACTAAAATAAGGTAACTTTAATTAAGAAGAATGTTAAATTTTAAAAATGTTATTATTAGGATCTATTCAACAAAAAAAAAGTTTACAACACTAAAATAGTTAATTATAGGAAAAAAATGACGTTTTTCTGTGTTCAAATTATATGAGAGTATTCTCTATTTATAGATTGTAAAAAGTTATGAATTTTGATATAATTTTTATTATTTAAAAATAAAAAATGATATAATAAATTAACTTTAATCATTGCTTTTATATATTTACCTTGCTTTATGTGATTACTCCATTTTAATTATATACATAATATTTACTCGCTTGTCAATTATTGAATATAGTTATTATTTCATAATATACAAAAATGAACAGAAAATAAATAATAAAGTGTAAAAATAATTTATATGCGTAATGTTCATCCTGCGTAATGTGCGGGTTTATGTTGATGTTTACAACCGGAATCTTCTCTTAATCGATCGGAGCTCATGTTTTTCAAAAAACCTTGCGCAAAATTAAAACAAAGACAAAACATATGTGAGTTAACAGAAAAGCTATTGTAAGCAAACATATCGAAGAAGCGAAGCCCTAGCACCCCTCTGGCGGCGATTTGATGGAAACCTTGAGATCTCTCCCTCTCTGAGACAGATCTCCGATCCTTGCATCCTCGCCGGCATTCCATCACCGCAAGGGAGACTACGACACCGATCAGAATACAGTTATCAACCTTTTGCGTTTCTGGCAAGTAATGAAAGGATCCGTATTCTTCTGGTTCATACACTCGTTGGTGTATTGATCTACCAATGGGATCTTTGTCCCTTGGTCTGTAGAAGGGATCTCGACTTCAGCATCATAAGGGATCGTTGTTCCTTGTTGACGATCTGTAATCCTTCACGATCTGTACACGTCCGTCAGGGATCCTTTTTCATGGTGTTCTCGTATCACGCTATCGTATTATAAGGGATCGTATCAAGACTTGCATCATAAGGGATCGTTGTTCCTTGTTCCTTGATCACGATCTGCATTACGCTCTGCTACCATCACGCTTTGCTACCATCACGTTCTGTTACTAATACGTTATCAGCATGACAAGGGATAATTGTTCATTGCTCTTATGTTGTGTACTTTCGGACCTGATATCCCTGTTATCACATCGCAAACCGGCGCTTTCTGATCAATGTTCGTATTCATCTATGGTCTCGAATAGGTTCTCATCTGGTTATCATGAGGATCGAAGACGAAAGCGTATACTCGAGGATGATGATGATGAGCCCATTAAGCTCACGGTTCATGAGGACGCGAATGTTATAAAAGATTTCCACCTTTCATTGATCGGCAAGATACTCAACCCTCGAAAACAAAAGGTCGAGAAGCTCATTCAAACGATGCCTGGACAGTGGGGAATGGAAGATAAAATCATTGCCAATGATCTAGGGAATGGAAAGTTCCTTTTGAACTTCACCTCTGAGGAAGACCTAAACTCTGTTCTTCGACAGGGTCCCTTCCACTATAACTTCTGCATGTTCGTATTGGTTCGATGGACACCGGTTGTTCATGATGACTATCCATGGATAATCCCATTCTGGGTTCAGATAACTGGCTTTCCTTTGCACCTATGGACTGATCGAAATTTACGTGACGTAGGAGATAGGCTTGGTCATGTTGATACATTGGAGTTATCTGAGGGTCGTATGCTCATAGATATAGACTCCCGTAAGCCACTGAAATTCTCGAGGAAAGTGCAAACATCGGAGGGAGATGACTTCACCATTACAATAACGTATGACAAGTTGTTCAAGCATTGTGAGACTTGTGGCTTGATGTCTCATCAAAAGGCTTATTGTCCATCACGCGACGTTCAAACTAGACTGCAGCCTCCCATGGAACGTGCTGGGGGAGTATTCTCACGTATGCAAAGCCCCTCACACGACACACGTTTATCCCGCCGTGGCCCTTCTGTCCCCTCCGGACAAGACCGTCGATTGCGAAACCAGCCGGTGATTGAGCAACGACGTGGACAGGTGCGCTCAGACAGAGTAATGAGACGTCATGATGATAGGTACAGGGCCTCGACTCATGGCAGATCGTGACACTCTTCAGGTCCCTATGACCGGAGAGGTGAACAACATTGGAGGATAAAAGCGATAGATAAACCTACTCAAGATGGTGATCATAGTTCGTCTGAGACTCCATCTGCGACCAAACATCAGAATCACGTCTCACGAAGGAGTAATATCAAAAGTGGAGTTGCTGATAAAGTCTCAGGACCTGAATCCCACGTCTCCCGAACCAATGATGATGATGATGTTTTGCGCGAGAGTACTCATACTGGTACTGCGCCTGAGCCTAAACGTTTGGCGAGTAAGATTGTCACGCCATCAGCAGACGATGCAATATGGAAGAGTTATGTAACAACCAGAGATAAGGGGGTTGCTAAATCATTATGTTTCTCACATGAGGATGGCCAGGATGTAGATGGGGAGGATCAGATGATTGGAGCTCTTAATGATATGGACAATATGGATAATCAGGGCGAGGATGTGCTTAATGACGATGATCTTTTAGGTGAGGAGTTAAGGGAGGATGAGGAAATTAACAACTGCTCACAATAGGCACGCAATGAGAACAGGGAATTAAACGCAGGAAGCACATCTGTTCGCAGCAGACGACATGGTGGAGGATCTAATGTCCCATTGGGCATTCAGTCTAAGAAGTTTGAGTTCCTCCGTAGGGGTTCTCCAAGTAAACGATCAAAGTCCAGCTCCAGGGATGCTGCAGGTTCTAGACATCACTCTAGGCAAGGGCCACTAAGGATCAGAGATGTATCCACATCACATGAGGTTTCGATGGGTTCCAAAAACTCATCCCACCCTCATCCATGAGGACAATCAGTTGGAACTGTCGAGGGATTGGAAGCGACCTCACAGTTCGACGCCTTACGGAGATGTGTCAGAAACATCGCCCAGGATTTGTGTTTCTATCTGAGACGAAGAATAGGAGGCTACTGTTGCAAGACATTCAGGCCGACTTATGATTTGATCGTTTATTTACCGTTGAGCCACTTGGTCTCAGCGGAGGTTTAGCTTTATTTTTTATGGATGATTTTCAAGTTAATGTTTTATTTTCAAATAACAGAATCATTGATATTGAGGCAGTCATTGATGGAATAAAAGTCTACATGACGTTTGTTTATGGGGATCCTGTTATAGAAAGAAGAGATTTAGTTTGGGAACGTCTTACGCGTTTCTCAACAACTAGGAATGGACCTTGGTTTATGATAGGAGATTTTAATGAAATAACCTGTCATGAGGAGAAGGAATGTGGCAGACAACGCACCGATAGCTCTTTTTTGCTCTTCAGGCAAATGTTAAGTGATTGTGGTATGCTGGAATTTCCCTTCACAGGTAACAAGCTATCGTGGGTTGGAAATAGAGCAGGAAGGACGACAGTTCGATGCCGTCTTGATAGGGCTGTTGGGAATGAGGACTGGCATGAGAAGTTCCCTCATTCCAAAGTGAAGTATTTGAGATTATGGGGATCGGATCATCGTCCGGTCCTAGCTGACATTCTTAAAAAGAAACCTAGGAGATCAAAGAACTTCAAATTTGATAAGAGATGGTTGGATAACGATGAGCTCAGGGAAATTATAATTGAAGGCTGGAAATCACCTGATCTCCCACCAGATGCAAGTATAATGGACCACATTGCGAGCTGCCGGCGTGCTTTAAGTGAATGGAAAAAGCAGAATAATCTGAATTTTGAGAAAACAGTGGAGGAGCTTAAGGAAAAGGTGGATCGATTATATTCAAATGACGATGCCACTACTGAAGAGATTGCAGCAGCTATTAAGGAGCTATCAGATGCCCTTAAGGCGTAGGAGATGTTTTGGAAACAGAAGTGTAGGATTTTCTGGCTGAGAGAGGGGGATAGGAACACCAAATTTTTTCACAGCATTACGAAGCAAAGGAGGGCAAGGAATAGGATTACCCAATTACTGGATGCAGATGGAAATGTTGTGGAAGAGGGAGATAGGAACACCAAATTTTTTCACAGCATTACGAAGCAAAGGAGGGCAAGGAATAGGATTACCCAATTACTGGATGCAGATGGAAATGTTGTGGAAGATGAGGAAGGATTGGTAGCCATTGCTACGAATTACTTTAGATACATCTTTCAATCATCCAATCCTGAGTCAATAGAGGAGGCTCTTTCTGAAGTATCAGCCACAATTACTTTATCCGATAATGAGACTTTGACAGCTCCGGTTACTGAATGGGAGGTTAAATTGGCTCTTTTCGCGATGCACCCGGAGAAAGCTCCAGGACCAGATGGGATGACGGCGTTGTTTTACCAGAAGTTCTGGGATATTGTTAAGAATGATTTAACCCTTATGGTTAATCAATTCCTTTTTGAGGGAACGGTGCCGACTGGTTTAAA